TAAATCTTCAAAATTTAAATCAAGAAATATTATTAAATGAAGAAAACTTATTTCAATTAAATTTATCAATAAAACAATTAAAAGAAAATTTAAATGAAAAACAAAAATATTTAAAATTAGCTAAATTAAAACGTCGTCATCAATCAGATTATATAACAATGTTTAATGTTATTAATCGATATTCATCACGTAATATTTTACAAAAAAAATTAAATCAATTAAATATTGAATATGAACAACAAAAATCTGAATTAATACATTTAAATCAACGTTTATCTATTTATCAAAAACAATCAAAAGTTGTACTTTATTCATTACTTGAACTTGTAGGATTTATTGATGTTAAATTACCAATTAATTTTGAAGATGAAATTGGTCGATTAGATAATAATCCTTTATTAGAAAGTAATGGAGATAAATAAATATTTCGCTAATGTTTTTTTTTCTCTTGTTAAATAAAATTTTTTGATTAATTCTTTATCTTTACTTCGAAAAGTAAAATCTTGTTTTACTTAATGAAGATAAACTAGTCATAATATTCTCAATAAAACTTTTTAATCTGGTTTTGATAGTCGTTCGGAAGTGCAAGATGACTTTTGTTTTGCTTAATTAGATTCAAAAACTAGCACGTCCTACATATTCCTGTATGACATTTTGATAATAATTGTATAAGAATAAGGTTATAATTAACTATTATTTTTACAGTAGTAACTGTCGGACTCAATGAGTTCTATTCTTCTTCACCTAAATTAACTTTTTTTTCACTTCCGTAAATGCTAAGAAGAATACAAATAGTGATTTTTTTTTTTTTTTCGAAGACGAGAACTCTCGTTGGAAATAAAATTTTCTATATTAGAATTTTTATTCACGATTATAGTAATGAAGAAAATAATTCAAAAATGATGACTTTGTTACAATCTAGAAAAAGTCTAATTTATTCTTTCATAAGAATTTTTGAGACATCATATAAGTTCGAATAAATAAAAAAATAAAAAATCATTGGTAAGTTCCCATGTCGCACTACCATTAGTATTGCATATATTATACCCAATGTTTTTGACTTACATCGGTTGTTCCGTTTAGAATAAATTATCACATGATTATTTGGATATAATGTATATGTAGTCTTTCATTATGCGTATCTACATCGAATTATTTCTTAGAAATAGAAATTTTGAGTTTATATTATTAGTTATTACTTTTGGATAAAAAATCATTTTTTGTTTTTGTATATATATACTTTTAGATTTGAAATATAAAATACACATATAAAAATCATGGCTGCAGCTGGTTATACACGTTCACAAAATTATGTAAGCTCTTATTTAGTATTATAAATTATTCTATCCGAAAAATTATGCTAGATTAAAATTTCATATAAATTCAGATTGTGATACTAAACTTTAAAAAAAAATAGAATAGAAAAGTAGAGTCTTTTACTTTCAAACTTGAGTTAAAAGAGCTTAAAATTCTATTTTTACAATTGAAATAAGAGCATGAAAACATAAAGTAAACTTCAATCAAATATATGATGTTTTTTTTAATAAAACTTTATGTTTTAGTCAACAATTCAAGATGATGATGATGCAGCACTTGATATTCAAGGAGATTCGTAAGAAATATGTGTATTATACATATAATTGAAATTTATTATTATATTTATTCATTTAGAAATAATAAAAATTCAACGGATAATAATAGTGTAAAACAGTAAATATTTATAAAAAATATATATATATATATATTCTTTTTTTTTGTGTCTAGACTTCATGGTCAAGTTCAAGAAGTTGTTGGTGTTATGAAAAATAATATTGATAAACTATTAGATCGTGATGTTGCATTAAATAATCTTGTAACACGTTCTGATGATCTTCAATTATCGGCTACATCATATAATCGAACAGCAAAACAATTACAAAGAAAATATTGGTGGAAAAATGCGAAAGTATTAAAAATAATACATTGTCTTATCAATTGTTAGATTTGTCTATTCATATTTTTTTTAGACAAATATGTGCATTGCTGGTATTGTTATTACAGTTGTAATTATCATTATAAGTATGTATTTTATTATTGAGAAATCTCAATTGAATTGTTTTTGAAATATACTTTGAGTCATTGAATATAAATTTATTTTTCTATATACTTAGGGCAAACTAAAAGTTGTTTAAAGGACCTTGTCGGATAAGGTAACCTATTCTGAAATGAAAAACCAAATATACCATGTTGTAGAGCTTTTTGAAGCGCGTCGAATGGTATATAGTAAATCCTGTTTTTCATAAGACTTTGAAGGAACTAGAGTCAATTTACTGATAGACAACTACACACCCACACTGACAAGATGACCGGAGATGCTACATATATGAGGTTGTAGCCCATCAAAAACTCTGCAAAATCGTATGTGAGAAAAAATACTTTACAAATACTTTCGACTAATCTCAAGGACCACAATATTCAGTAACCTATCAGAGATGTCCATCGCGGCGCGACTGCTGCCGCTGTGGCGGTGGTGGCGCGGTAAGTTTTCTGTTTTTATCACCGCGGTGCGGTAGCGGCGCGTTAGCTTTTTTCTTTTATCGTCGCGGCGCGGCAGCGGTCAGTTTTCAACCGCGATGGACATCTCTGTAACCTATCATACTTAGGTAAGGGTGTGAGTATGGATGCGTAGTCGTCTATCAGTAAATTGACTCTAGTTCCTTCAAAGTCTTATGAAAAACAGGATTTATTATATACCATTCGACGTGCCTCAAAAAGCTCTACAACATGGTATATTTAGTTTTTCATTTCTGAATAGGTTACCTTATCCAACAAGGTTCTTTAAACACCGTTCTACGAACTTTTTGGTTTGCGCTAAGTATTTTGATTTTTATCAATTTTTCATACATGAAATTTTATAAAAGAGTATTAAAAATTTCTTATTCTTAACTTTATTTCATGTAAATATCATTAACTAATAATTCATCTACTTTTATTCATATTCTATTCGACGTTAGATATAATACGTGTCACTGAATATTTATTACTTATCAACAGTTGTATTGTATGTTGTAGATAGTAGACAAATGATATAGTTTGAACTAAAATAAAACTAGATAATCTATCTAAATGTTGAATACAAAAAGTATATGATAGAGTCTTGCAGAGTCAAATTTTTTTTAACTTTGAAAATGTTCACTCCAGTAGTTCCGGTTCCGACTCTTAAAAGCTAAAAAAAAAAGCTTTTTTATTTGTTGATTAATATGTATATTTCTTTTTTATGTTAAGTATTGATGCGAAATGTCTATCTAGTGAGTTTTCTTTTTTCCTAAAATTTACTTATAAGTCGATAGAGTAGTATGCATTACTTAACATATAAAGTTTAGAAACTTTCATGAAATAATCTATGGAAAATTTCGATAACTCGAAATTTAATATTAATACCTTTATTAATATATCAACTAGTAGAGCAAAAGTTACTCTACAAAATGTACTAAATGAAGTTTTTTCTATAAGTTTATTCAATTTTTATTTCTTTTGAATTTACATTTTTTTGATCAAATGATGTTTTGTATCTTAGTCTATATTCCAAACGTACACGATATGTTGCTTCTAATTCATAGCTTTTAACATCTCGGAAAGACTTTAAAAAAACAAATATTCGACTCGTTCATTATATATAAAAATACTTGATTATTTTACCCTATGTCACACTGACATTAGCTCTAACTATGATGTAGATTTCTATTATAAGAAAGAAATTCGAAAATAAATTTTGTTTTAAAATAATTTAATTTTACTATTTTAGTGTCAATTACATTGAATCGTCGTGGAAAGAACTAATTAAATATTCAATATTATCTGATCTTATTATCAATTCCATCTATTTATTTCCATCATATACAAAACTCTTCAAGAGAAAAAAAAAACATCTTACTTTGGCTTACAATCTTTATTTCTTTTTTCTTTTTTTTTTGTCTTTTGATTTTATTTAAACAAAATAAATTATTTATTTTCGTCAAAAATTATCATATCCTGCCGTGGCAAAATGATGATGATCATCTATATATATAAGTAGACAATTGAAAAAATTAATTACAAGGATGATATTCAATTCTGTATGAACCATAGTAATTGAACGGCTCTGTCTGTATATATAGACATGGCACCCTGCAATGATTATTCATCAAACAATAGAATATAAAAAATCAATAGGTGCGAAAAGAAAGAAAATCACCATAGGAGGTCTAAATAAGAAAGTTTTATTTTCAATATTTGATCCATCCGCATTGAAGAGAAAGTAATTATATGTATTATACGATAATTAATTTCAATGAATGAATATTTTATTTATATAAAACAAAATCATAAGAAAAAACATAGAATTTTTTAAAAATTAATTTCAGTATAATGTTGTTGAAAATTATTTGAATGATGATGATGATAAACATTCATTGGATGTATATAATTTGATGATGATATATTTTTCATTGGTATAAAATTTTCAAATGAAGATAATGGTGATTGAGAACAACTATCAGTTGTTAATGAATTATTTATTTGTGGTGATTGACTAAGATTATTTCGTTTTATACATGTTTCATTATTTATTAAATCAGATGATGTTATTAATTCATGCATTTTCATATGTTTACGTAAAGCTAAAAAAAAAGAAATCAAATAAATTTTGTGTTTGTATTATTTTGCTTAATCTTACATGATGGATGAGTATAAGTTTTTTCACAACCATTAAAACGACAATTATATGGTTTATCAGATGTATGTACATGCTGATGTTTTTTTCTATCAGAACTATTAGCAAAACTTCGTTCACAAAATTGACATCGAAATGGTCGTTCTCTATACAAATAAAAAAAACAAAGATTTTATTTTTAAGACAAAAAAAATATATATATAACTAACCCTGTATGTGTTCGTTTATGTATTTTAAGATTTTCTGAACGTGCAAATACTTTTCCACAACGTGGAAATGGACAAGGAAATGGTTTTTCACCGGTATGAACACGTATATGATTAACTAATTTATATTTAGCTTTAAATGCACGACCATGTCGAGTACAATCAAGCCATAAACATATATGAGATGATTGTTCAGGTCCACCTACATGTTCAACAGTCAGATGAGTTACTAGAAAAACAATATCATCATTACAAGAATCTTATTATATAGAAGGAATATCTAGTACTTAGCGGCAGATTCATTAGGACAAATAACTATGACTAACTGTCGGTTTGAACAAAATACTAGCCTAGCGCATAATTTTTGTATTCTCCATACAGATCAAATAACTGTTAGTTCAAGATTATTCTATGACTGGCAGTACTGAGGTTTGCGCATAGTATTTTGTAGAGTAAGTGTAGTTATACATTTGTTGCGTCTAGAGACCGTTGAATAGGTCTAGAATTTTCCTACTCGACAAGCTTTAACGACAGCTCAAGGTCAAACAGACTTTGTTGTTTTGCTATTCTTACCAATATCTTGCATATAAGTAAATGTTCGATTACATATTCGATTTGTATCAGAATTAATCCATTTACAAATATAATTTTCATTTTTAATATTTGTATTATTAGATATTGTATTAAAACTAGGACGATATGATGGATATAAATAAGGTAAAAATGTAGTTTGATTTGTTGAATCCATAGGACGAGAATGATATTGATTATTTGCATACTGTTCAGGATCAAACATTGAATATGTCCTAGCAAAGATATATATATATATGTAAAAAAATTTTTTTTTTTTTTGAAAAATAAAATTAATTAAAATAATTTCTACATAAGATCTTGTGTTGTATTTTGATATGATGAAAAATCTGTAAGACGTTGTTGATCATCAATAGAATTAGGTAAATTAAATAGAAATGATGATGATGATGATGATGGTGTTGAATTAAATGATCGATAAGTTGTTGATGTATATGGATTTGAATATGATGATATTGTTGTATTAAGAGTTCCATCAATTGATGGATTTGTTAGATCAAACATTGATTTAAAAGATAAATGTAATAATTATTCTCACTATGTAAATTGATTGTTAACAATCTCAATAGGTATTAAACACTTGTCAATTTTCTATTGAGATGTAAGATGAGATGTGTCTTTAATGCTCAACAGGATCTAACTATAATATAACTCCCGTAGGTAATCTATCGAATATAAACACATACACAATAATTTAGTTAAATTCTTTTGATCGTTGTTGTTGTTGATAGTTACTATGAAAAAAAAAACTAATATCTACTTATAGAAAATGAAAAATTAATGATGTAATTTTTTTCTTTTGAGATTATACGACAGGAACTCCTGATGTGTGAATCGACTGATAGAAAGAAAGGAAATACGCGTGTTATATCCAGTCGAGCATTTTTTTTTTTTTTCGTTACATAGAATAAAAACGGAAGGGAGAGAGAGAGAGAGAAACTGTAGGGGTGCTGCTGATTGGAGAAATCATGCTGAGTTGTTCTTTATTCTTATTTGCTTTTTCTACCAATAGATATTTTTTTTTTTCTATAATAATAACAAATCGACCAATAAGAAAAAATTAGATACATTTTTTTTTTTTCTTATTTCACTTTGACATTGAGCTTCTACAGGATGAAATGAACTATGTATCTTTCGTTTTGATGTTCTAAGGTCGTCAGAAGTTAGAAACAAAAGATTTTTCAAGCTTGAGGACAGTCACCCATTCGAGATCAGAGAGCATCCTCTCTAATAATATCCGACTTTCTATTAGTTTTTAAAAAGCTTCATAGTAACTTTAGATAACCAGTGAATTTTTGAAACATCATTTACCTTTCTCTGTCATAAAGTGAAACAAGCAGACAATGCGATTGTGAAGTGAAGAGGATTGAAGCAGGCACCGGGAAAGGGATGGGTCACGCTTAGAGTTCATCAAATTCTAAAATTTCCAAATCTGAGCTCGATTATATCAGTAATCAACCTGTGCGGCTCGAGACACTTAATAAAAACAACAAAAACACTATGTCTCAATAGTCTAATTTGTTAATGAAACGAAAACTTAACGAAAACTTTCATCTTGCCTACAGCAAAACTACTAAGTTCTTCAATCTTAACATGTCCTTCATATCTTTTTATTTCTCCCCCTGTTGTCCACTTGTTATAGTCATACCTATATATAAGTGAGTTGTGTTTGATCATATGACATCATTTACATTTTTTTTTTCTAACGATGATCTCTTCTTACTTTTTGATCAAAATCGATGAATCGGCAAAAATTAAACAAGAAATGGATTGCATCTAATTTTTTCTTTCGTTCATTAATAATAAGTGAGTGAGTTCATTTTCTTTGCCGCATTTATATATATACATATGAATTCAATCTGTTACACTTAAGATAGTTCATAAAAAATAAAAAAATATGAACATATTAAATATCTATATACTAAGACTTGTCAATTGAATCGAATTGTTCATAAAATTCTTTTTCATCCAATTGTTAATTGATTACATACTTATTGAATATATTTGACAAGACGAGACAACAAAAAATATATATATAGATAACGTCATGTGTATTATTTTAGTTAATGCCATTTTGAGATCTAATGTGAAAAGATGTAATATTATCTTGTTTTATTTTTATTTCTAAATTCAAAACAGATTTTTGTATTTTATTATAATCATCTTCGTTCTCATAGATAAATATTATTCATCATGTTTAGAATCGAAGTTTTTAAATAAACATTACCCATCTCCTCTCTGTTCCTCATTATTGATCATTGATATATAATTACTCAAATGAGAGACGATTATCAGGTTCATATGTATATAATAAACAACAATAATAGAGGATAGTGTAGATGTCTTCATTCTTATAAAATAAATGACTGTTTTTTTTTTATTTGAAATATTTCACAATTATTAATAACTGTCAGATCAAAGATAATAACAATAGATTTATTTCGGATGAGAAAAACTTATCGAATGCTAAGTATTATTTTATTTTGGTAACACATTTTTTTATTTTTTTTTGAAGAGAAAAATTCGCTCTTCACATAAGTGTGAACGATAACGGCAATATAGAATAAATGTAATCATTCAATATTTGTCATAATGATAATAATCGATGCCGATCATTAGATATAAATAAAAAATCGATCAATCAAATAATTTATTATTCAACTAGTGTAATATTAAATAGACAGTAATTAGCATTTATGTGTGATGTTTAATTTTTGAAATATGTTTATGTCATCGATTGGTTTATTACAAGATATTTCAACATAATCGAATACATATTATGTCTTGAATATTAATAATTGACTTCTTAGATAATGAACAACTAAACATATACGTAAATAACAAAAAGAAAGTAGTACAAAGTATAGATGTACTTGTTCTCTTCGCTCCACATCCATAGGCGAAATATAAATTTCCTTTTTAATTTTTCGACGATAAGTCGATTTCATTTTTCTACTCTAGTTTTTATTCGATATATTGTTTGAACTGAACAAACATCTCCATATAGAATTCAATATACTCAGTCTCTAATTCGAGATTGACCTAGGTTGTTCTTATATATTGAGAAAAAATTCTCTTGATATGAATTAATTTTATTTAAAAAAATAAAATAAAATAAACAATCAAGCAAAAGCAACTTTTGGATTAGTTGCTGTTTTTCTTCGATCATTTTCATCAATTGGACTTGGTGCTGAAGTAATAACTGATTTCCATGATGAAAAATCTGTTCGTGCTGATCGTTGACCAGTTGAAGTACTTGTTGTATAATTTTTTGATGATTTTTTTGTACTTATTGATTTAATATCAAAATTATCTTCAACAAAAATTGATAC